GAAGAAACTGTGTAATTTCATTAAAATATTGTCTTGCAGGAGTACAATATATTTTAACTACCTTTGGTGAGTTAACATTTTTTTGTGGCCCTCATCTCAGGGAATTCTTACACTAAAGCAAATCAAAATAATCTTCTTCTACTGTGGTCGGTTTTTCAGATTCATGATTTTGCTTTGATTAATCTTGTTTCACTCTTATCCTTCTTGCTGCAGGAAGTGTGTAAACCCTGAGTGTGATTGGCATACTGCGTTGGGCCAAGAGTCTGCCCTTTGGGGGAAAGCGATAGAGAGATGCACATGCTGATGAGAAGGCAGGGACAGGACAGACTCAAATGAGCCTGATAAGCCAGCGCCTGGGGAGGACAGGAGACGGTTTTGCTTAATTGGCAAATTTGTTCCACTTAGATAGCAGCAACCAGTGGTGAACAACACCACACCTAACCCTGCTGGTCAGGCGTCCCGGGCGGTGTGGTGGGGTTATGTGGTGTCAAGGTTGCAATGTTTACCATGAAACGGCAGCTAAAGAAAAGTCTGCACCCCATGCTGTGTCCCTCTGAACGTCTTCCTTGTAACCCTGTCTTGTTTTGTAACAGTTCAATTTCTAGCCAGAGGAAGGAGAGCAAATAAAACGAAGTCATGATATACTGAAAGCGGCATCAAATGTTCAGCAGGGTAGCGGCGTACCACGCAGCAGTTTCATCTTTCTGATAGCTTCAAGCTGTTTGAAGACGGTGAGATGAAAGAGCCGACAGGCCTGGTGGACTGTGTGTTTATTAGTGGAAAGGTATCTCAAACTTAACACACACACACACACAAAAAAAGGATGTTCTTCTCAAGTCATCCCAGTTCCTCCATGCATCACCTATACACTCAATTATTCTGAAAGGAGTGGTAATGACCTACATTTACAATAATTCAAACAGCAAGTGAAAGCGACATGAAGACGATTATAAAGCATTGCAGTAGGTTTTGTTCCATCTGATTCAATTAAAGTTGAGTTTTGAGCCCCCCCCCTCATCACCCCATGTGCCTGTAGCCTCTCCGCCTTCCCCCAGCCATGTGTGGCCTTTTCTCAATGCAACAATGACTTTCATGAAATCACATTAAACAAATGAGCCCTCCATCCTGACAGCAGCATATTCTAGAGGCGGGGGCGGCTAAAACCCTTGTCGTGTCCTTGGTTTATCTCCACGCCGTCTCTGGAAATGTTATGTTTATCACTGAATAATTACATTTTAAGCACTTCAAATGACTTTGGATGAGAGGCCCGATGATTAATTAGACTTGGTAAAGAATACTTGGGCAGTTAATATGGAGCTAATGATTGTAAAAACCATTGAAGATATAGGAGAGCTTTTATTCTCCCCACTATTTAGCTTCACAAAGCCAGCCACAGTTTTCACTTCACTCATTGAGAGCCGGCAAAGTTCAATAGGCATTTGCTTGGATGATATTTTAAGTTGGCTGGACAATGGAAGGCTCAGGCTTTAATCCTGAAACTCTTTCTATAGCCGGGTGAAGCAGTCACCGCCTGGGCCTAAATCATGTATTCAATCAACATCATAATAGTTTCACTTGATATTTAAAACACCCCTTTTGTTTGTAATAAAAAAACAAAACAGCCATTTTTATCAAACATACATGTAACTTTGGCCACTAGGGGTCTCTCAATTACAGCAAGAACTAAAGACCTCGATTGAGGACATCGGGAGGCAGACATCATTTCTTGCTTGGTTCCGCTGTGCATTTGCGATTTCCTGGGCAACAGAACACTCAGCAAACGGTGAGGAGTAATCGTGATCCATTACAAGCTACCAATACACAGTGGAAGGTAAAAACAGCCATTTGGGTAACTGGCCAGCTTTGTGTTTTTCCTTCGTCATTTGTCCTGGATTTTACAGCAGAGACAGGTAAAGCTGATATGACGCAATTAAACGGGCAACCAATATGAAATGTCTTGTTACCTTAAAATAAAATTGCAGATTTCTCTGGGCTTGAACATTGTTGGAAACACTCTGAATGATAAAAGATCACAAACCAACAAAATATATAACATAGGTCTAGTTGTATTTAGATGAAGAACAGTTTAATCTTTATTTTTTATCTTTATCTTTAAGAGTTCCTGTGCTGTTTCCTCTCGGTTATGATTAGAGATTGTGCTGTATCTTGTATATCTTGCCTACATATTTAAATTGAGAGCGAAATATCAAAAGTTGTCTACAGTTGACTACAAACTGGAGGTCATTATAATAACCTTCTGGTCAAAGCACATGCATTATTGAGAGCTTCTCGGGGAGCTGTCTGTATGCTCTTGTTTTCCTAGGGCTGCCTTTCGATCCTGCAGATACTCAAATAGATGAAACACACAGAAAACTGCAACATATACAAGACATTTTGAAAAGCGACTCCTCACACACATTACATGGTGTCAGGCTCATGCTCTTTCTGTATCTTTAAAGTCCCTATGATCCTTTTTGCTGCTCGAGATCCTCAGGAGATTGATTTCTTTGAGATAGCCATGTCTCTTAATTCCTGATGGCTCTCTTGTTGTTTTCTTAGAGCTGCCTTCATTATGAATTCATTATTATAGCCATGCTCTTTCTCCTCCAGTGGTTTTTCATTTGCAGCGTGTCAATTATTTTATATGCAAATGTTTTAAAGGAGAGGACATGTATGTTTTCCTGCTTCAGTCGCAGCCCATAATGTAACAACATTAACATTACAATGCAAGCGTTAACCTGCTCTCTCTGTTTATAAAAAGTGGAGGCAACTGAGGAGATTTTGCCATCTCAATGTACGACCCAATAAACTGCAGCAGGCTTAAGCTGTTTTACTCTGTGGTGTGGTTTACAATGTGCTCAGATTATTGCCGCTATCACTACAGGGATAGATAATATGGCATTCTCTGATTTTCATTAACATCCTACACAGCAGCCCAGTAAACTCCCGGGTGGCTTAGTTACAGCGAGATGCGGATAAAGTTCTTTCCTCTCTCTCTCACTGTTCCCGCTTGCTCTGAGAACACGAGCAGAGCAGCAACATAAGTGGATTTCAAGCTGTAAAGTCAGCTGCACAGTGTTTATGTCTTTACCCGGCGTGCAAAGTTGGAACTCGTTCCAATTTGCATGTTGTCAACTGAACATTTTACTGTCACCTCCCAAAAATTAACTGCCTCTTGCCTACATCGCGAGTATTAATTTCCATCAGGATCTGCTGCAAATCGCAGTACTATGGAAGATTCAAATAAATGTCATGACCAAAATAAATGTGCCTTGGAATACAAATAGAGTTCAAGACATCTCTTTGCATCATGACCTCAATTCCTTAAATTCCTTAAAACTGCAGCTGAGCTGAGCCTTCTCTCCCAGACAAATTTCACAGTGCTGGTGACAAAAAAAAGGCTTTAACCTCTCAGCGATGCCTAAAGTCACGAGAAGAGAAAAGTGCAGCCGCCATCTCCAGCTCTGGACGTGGGTATTTTTTCTTCCCCCGTGCAAGTCATACTAGAGGGAGCTGGACTTGTCCCTGCATTATTTACTATTACCATTCTCTTTGTTATCCCGAGTCGCATTAATTAATTCATGAGGAGGAGTTGCCTATTTGATGACCACAATGCATGGGGGAGCCCAGTGGTACACCGATGCTCCATTTGTGTGAGCTGAATCATTCATCACACACACACACACACACACACACACNACACACACACACACACACACACACACACACGGTCGTCACATTTGGCCTGTTTTGTAAATTACCCTTCAAGCAAAAGAGCCATATTAACGTATGTCACCACAACAAATAATAAAACATATCACCAACAACCAGCTGAGTAAACAAGTATTAAGTTAGAAGCTTTAAACTAGTGCAGGCATGGTGGAATCTAAACCTATAGTCGGGATTGGGTTAGAGAGAGTATAGGGGTGAAAGCAAAGACAATGGGAACTGGTCCTAAATTAGTGAAAAGACAGAATATTTTAAAGTCTTCCAAAACGCTGAAAAGTGGGCCTAAAGTTTAACATTAGCTCTTCAACCACGGTCATTGTTTCACTTCATATCCAATATGCTGGTAAAGAGCCAGACTGGAGGAAAATGGGTCACAGTCCCAGTAATTCTGTTCAGACTGCAGCAAAGGAATCTGACTTAAAGGATTTGAATTCAATATGTTTTTCTCAACCGACCAGATTTAAAAATATACGATACATACATATCTGTTTTTAACCATAAACTAAATTCAATAACGTATTAGACTGTGAGTTTAAGGACCTGTCAATCAACTTTAAGACCACCACCACCACCAGCAACAGCAGCAGCAGCAGAGTTCTGGTCCTGTGCTTTGACATTTGCTGGTTGGGTGGCTGTTTTGTTTAAGCAATACATCACGGACTGTGCCTTTAAGTAAACGCAAAGCTCCAGATACTTGGGCACACAGGCTTTGGTATTGACATATCTTCCTTCTGAGCCTCCACATGAAGGCACACAACATCAGAGCGCAACACACACACCACTCAACTGCGCTGTCCGGGAGAGCCTCATTTTATATTCATAGTAAAAATTAAAATGGTATGTCTTTTAGACACAGGCACACACACACAGACCTACACACAGAGGACTCAGATGAGAGAGAGGAGGAATGATAGCAAGAATGAAATGAATACATTACATCTTAATAAGTCATAGCCGTACATCCTTTTAGCTAAGAACATAGAAAACAGCCATGCACATGGAAAGTTATTGTGGCCAGTAAATGAATGATCACTCTAACTTAAACGGAATAAACCCGAGACTTCAAATGAACAGTGTCTTCAGCTCATCAACTGCAGCTCTAGACTGGAGAGAGAAGTGCATGCACTTCTTTGATTTGCAGTGGCTGGAGAGAAGCAAAACATTGTGTCACGAAAACCGAGTTGTTCTGTCAGTGTGGCAGACAGATGACTGCTCCTCTCCAGGCAACACAGGAGAAAATGTTACTTGTTTGAAATGTGAGAAGCCCTCACCTCAGCCACGGGCACTCCCTCTGGGGGACGGCAGTGCAACACAATCATGCCATTCATAGGCACCTCAGTGCCTTGGGGGTCCTGCTCAAAGTTCTTCCTCAGGTCTGCGGAGGAGAATAAACAGCCTGCATTAAAGCACGACCACAACAGCACGGAGGAACACATAAGCCTGCACATTTGTTTCATGTGTGACCTTTTCTCCACACGCAAACATGCATGGACATAAAGAAAGAAAATCACATCACCGGTTTGAAAAGGAATAACCTTTTCAGAGACAATAAGGTCAGCCTGGTATCAAAATGACACAGTGTTGCTTACAGGCGATGCGGACGGCTGCCTTGCGGCTCTTGGAGGTTCCCAGGTGACTCCAGGCGACGCACAGGCACCAGTAATCCTCCGGCCCATGGAAGTCCTCCACCTGCTGACGGGACACGTTGATCATCACCTCGCGGATCTTCAGCCCTGCAAACGAGAGGGTTGATGGCTTAGATTAGCTTTCATTTAGATGAAGGGGTGATTAATCAAAGAGATGAAGAATCGCAGGGACAGGATGATGAGTGGAATTTGAATCTGATAAGATTATCAGCAGTAAACAGATCTACCGTTTGCCGGGAGCGGACACAGGGAGACTGCTCATCAAAAACCACAGCACATTTCAACCACATTTCAGGGGTTGCTTGTCGGGAGTTTGTTTCGAAACAGTTCACACACACAGAGCTGATCATGTCACTCTTAACCATTAGGAGTCCTAGGCTATTTTGTTGTTGTATTTTTTAATGCCTTTCAAATTGCCCTTATATACCACAAAATGTTGACCATTCCATTGTGTGGTATCTTTTTTTGAATTTCTGAAAACACAACATATCATAATCTCTACCCTTTTCTCTCCCTCCTCCCCTGCCCCCAGTATATTCAGCCTGTAGAGCAGAATCAGCAGCTTAACGAATTCTTTTAAATTTCCCAATATGCCAAAAAATGACTTGAATAAATGCAACGCTGCCATCATCTTATCTTGCATACTTTTACTCACATGTCAAAGATCATATCTCAGTTTTTCTCTTGGCCATCAACACAAAAAGAAAGCACATTGGACTGAAGTTGAAACCTGAAACCAGTGCTGCAGGCTCTATGTTAAAGATGCAATGTCTTGAACCAGTCACGTGATTGGATCACGCTGGCCTGATCTGTGACTACTGAGGGTTTATACTGGTCTTTTATGCTTGAGTTTTGCAGAAGGCAATGTGTAATGCTGATCGTAAAATGCAAAATAGACATTTTTAGTAAAGCCCTTATATTCTCTTTCAGCATCGAACCATAATCCATTTATAGAGAAGTGACACTAAATGCTTTTCAATGGAGGTAGTAACCGAGAGGAGGGACACATGAGCCACGTATTGTTTTAAGGGAGAGCGGGAGGACTAATTTCTCTTCTTTGAAAACATTTGAAGAGGCTGTAATTTAAAAAGATTGCAATACAGTGCAATTAAATGCTGCATCTGGAACACCGATGCTTTCCCTGACAATCAAATCATCCATTCCTGCAGTGCAACTCTGAGTTAATGTCAGGCAGGTCATTTGTGCATATCTGTATGTCGTCTGTGACGCAGACCCATAATGAGTCAGGCGTGAGACGAGCGTTTTCGGGGACATCTGATGTGAATTTAAAAGCGCGGTATTTCAATTATACCAGACTATGCACAAAAAGATGACAGCCTCAAACCATTAATACATAATAGGGTGGCTTTATTGGGTGTCTAGGAAATTGCAGCTTTCAAGTATCTAATGTGTCTCCTGCAGGAATGAAATTTCAGACAGCGAACCCTATACAGATTTATTAATATGTGAATACACCATTTAAACTAGTTATGTTTAGTCTCCAATGGTGTGCTTCCTGCAGCATACAGGCGTCTTCACTTCTGACAGATTGTCGAGGAGTCCCAGCATTTAACCTCTAGCTCGTGTCATGTTTTATGTTTTTGCCTGGTGTCCACATCATTCCAAATGATGACTTTTGGAAAGTCTGATGGCCCCATTTCAGTTTGAAACTCCAAGGTCAGAATTTTGCCTGGAGGGGCAGAAATAGAAGATTTGGGAAATAACAATGCAGACACCCACATTCACTCCAGCATTGGGTTTTTACAGTCTCAATGTAGCCTTTCCTGATGTGTCACACTCCTACTGCTTGACCCTCCTCTGATAGAAAACCTCCCCAGCCTTGATTCTTACCTTGTCTTCTTTGTTAGCAGCCGCAGATCTATCCCTCATCTATAATTCTGCAATTACCTGTATGTGCAGGAGGTGAGCATTCAAGCAATCTGTGACACCTCCTGTGGGCATGTGAATGTCAAGTGCTTCTAATACACGGCTAAAAACACTTGTCTGAGCTGAGATCATTGTTTTTTGTTCTTAACTCAGTGTGGATGCAGTCTCTGTGTATTTAGGCCAATTGGCTTGCTAGTGTTAGTGCTCCTGTGATTTAGATGTTAGCCTTCATTGAGCTCACATGTTCTGTGACTGGTTGCACTTCCTGGGTTTTATTTTTGACCCATGCATCTAAAGTCTCTTCCAAAGACCTTCATACCTGGAATAAACATGTGTCTTGGAGGACCTTAGATTAAGTGGACAGCTCTAAGTGTGTCATCTAGTGGATGGAGGAGTTATAGCTGATTTGGCAACACAGTGGTTACTGATGGTAACAGCATTATTGGTTCAAAACAACAGAAAACAGTCCTTGAGCAGCTTTATCTAGTAACTCCAGACATCTCTGTCTGTGTGTATGTGGCTCGCATATCTCGACAACTGTTCACAGTTTCCATGTGTATTGTTACTGGCCAGAGGAAGTCCAGTGTTAAATTTGCAGCGATTTGGACATGAGATAAGTTCAATATAAATAAACAGAGAACCAGCGCTCTGTAGAAGAGGTGGCTGGGACTCATCAACCTTAGAGCGTGTTTACAACAACTGATCCTCCTGGTCAGGATTCTGCCAACTGAGTCGCGCCTCAATGAATTTTGAATAAACAGGTGAGCACCTCTTTGTGCAGCTTCAGGTTTCTGTGGAGTCTTCACTTGCTGCTGCTCAATTCGTGCAGGTCACTTCTACAATTTCTATTTCAAATACAGCCAAGTGGAAAGTGGGGTGTATATGTTTACATTGCAGCCCTACAATAATCAGGCTTTCCCCTCTATATTAAGCCTTTATGGTCATGAGCAATTGCAGTCAGTGCAACTGTCAGTGACAAATACATTGTATAGCCTGGGAGTGCTGTAAAAGCTGTAGTTGTAGCACTTAAAAGCTTTTATTGTGTGGCAGTAGGAAATGATAGGTCTTCATTCACATTCATCATTTGACACAGCTTTGATACAGGAGAGTGTACAATAAAATGTGAAGCTGATTACAGACCGATAAAGTGACACGTGCATTGTTGTCTTTGAATTACTATGTGCTATTTGAATGGAACACTGGAATGATGGACTCTGCCATTAAACATGAACAGTACATGTACAGGTTTTTACCGGGGGGAAATACATTGAAAGGCTATGCAGAGTTTGATTTCATGAAAATCTTGAAGGTTTCACTTTAAAGAACCAGAAACAGTAAAGAATGTCTATTCTTTACTGAAAAATCTATGATGTGTAGAACCGTATAGAAATTTTGTACAAATTCCTGAAGGCAGGAAGTTAATAAAAATTGTCCTTTGTGTTGTTTTTTAGAAGCGCTAACAAGTTGTGCCTAACTACGCATCTCACAGCAGCTGTTCAGAAATCAGTGTAAAGCTTAGCCTCTCGTGGCTTATTGCTTAATTACGCAGCCCTACACTTGTAGAGGAGTTGTCTCTCCACAGGCTTTTGCCATCACGCTGCACGTGGCAGACAGCAGCTTAGACATGGGCTGGGATTAAATGAAAACTAATAATGTGAAATAAAAGGAGGCGTAATGGAGGAATGTAAAACAGACGTGTTGTCTGAAGACACTGTGATCCTCTACAGTGACTGAATGATATTATGCATAATACACATACACACACAGGTTTGCACAGCTATCCCTATTAGGACTTTGCAAAGAATGCCATTCATTCATCAACAAAACCTTATCCTTAACCTCAACCACGACCAATCCATGCCTAACCCTAACCTGACCATAATTCACAACTTAACCCCTAACCTTAACCAGGACCCCGGAACGACATGTTGCCTCATCAGCACTAATGAGTTCTACTGGTCTTGACAACATGTGTGCAACAAAACACGCACGTATGCACACACGCACACCTCCTTTCCACTGCTACAAATTCCAGAGTTAATCAGCCTGATTAAGGGGATGCGACACAGATCTATAGGAAAAGTAAGCACAAGTTTGAGGCAAATGTTTCATCACATCATGAGAAATTTTATGTTGTGTCAGTTCAAGTTTTTTGGGCTCAGTGTAGTAGGGATTTAAATTCATAAAAATACATTATTTGGATATGAACAATTAAATCTGCAGAAATATTTGTTCCCCTGATCAACTGACCCTCATCTGATTGACATGGGAACTGTAGAATTTCAAATCAGACCATAATAACATTCAACAAAGCTCAAGGCATTTGTGACTTGTCTCTTTGTACTGTCCGTTTCTGTGGGGATGAAATAAATGAAATGAAGAAAATCCCCAAAAATTATGTTATTATTGAAGTTGTATATGCTTAATATTATGTTTTTTTCTGTGCAGCTCAAATTATATATATACTGTGAACATGAGGTGTATGGACGGAATCATTTAACACAGAACATGAAGCAATGTTGCGTCATGCTGAACCCCACCCACTTACATCTGTCTACATCTTTCACAGCCACAGGTTGTCATTGATCATTTCTGATGATCCTGGGCTTCATGGTACCAGGAGTGGGACTCATCTAATATGAATCTGTCAGAAGACAGACGCCAGGAGCTGGAGTAGAGAAGGATGAGGGGACAGCAGTGAGCTGCTGTTGTGTTGTTTGGCGTTTCTCTGTCTAAAATCTATTTGTTAATATGTAAAATGAAACCAATGCCAAGATCAAGTCATGGTCGGTTGCACAATTGTATTTACTCATTTGGCAGATGCTTTTATTCACAGTGACCGCCTCTAGGAATATGTTATAGAAAATAATATGCTCTGATAGCATAGCTTGTTCCACTACAGGGGAAACACAAACAACCACGGTCTGATTCCCTTGTGTGCAGAAATGGCAACGCCAGACCATGTTCCTTGGAGGAGTGCATGAGATGAGTCATGTGTCAGCATGACTGAAACGCAGAAATGGCTTGAATGTGAATTGAGCAGCAATGGGGAGCCAGTGTAGACAGAGGTAGTAGCTCGTGCGTCAATGATGGATGAATTTTCTCCTCTTCAGCCCAATAACATTATTTCGACCCAATTCAGCGTCACTCCCTAAACACTCCCTAAACAAATTAAATTAAAAGCATTAATTCCCAGACTT